ACTCACCTCAGCCTCCCAAAGGCACGGGATTACAGGCTGAGCCACTGAGCCCGGCTCGAAGCTCATTTTATATATTAGTCTTCCCACAATCCTGGCTCCCAGGTGCAGAGCCAGGGTTTGACCCAGGATCATCTGGATTTAGAGGCCTTGCTGCTGCCAATGCATGGCGATTGCCTGAAGGCTGAAAGCAGTGCCGTGCGCCCCAGAGTGATAGGCAGTGTTGAGCACAGAAATGCTCAGGAGATGAGTGTATTATGGGAAAAGGGGTGAGACCTGAGGAAATGCCACATCACACGGTGAATGTGGGCAGCATTGAAAACACCACAGGCTCGTGGGTAGAGTTTCAATTCTGATGAGATGGAGGCTGGCACGTTCCACCCGGGTGCTCCTCCTCCCCCTTTCCTCCAAGGCAGGGCGTCAAGGTGGGCCAGCCCGCAACAGGTTCCAGGATTCCTTCCAGTGGGATGTTCTGCTGGAGAAGTTACCCACCATGACAGGTGAAGAGATTATCAGAAACACGGGAGAGTGGGAGTTTTTTTTGCCCAGCTGTACAAGGATGGGCTTGGGGCCTGTGTGAGCAGGTAACACCTTAACATCATGCCCCACTCTGCAGAAATACTGATTTGGGTTTACATTGTTCTTCCTTAGGAAGTTGCTCTGTTCTAGTCCCAGATCTCAAAGGTAGTGATAGATGTGGCTTGGACTTTGTTGTTCTGTTTAGTTAGGGTCTCACTCTGTCGCCAGGCTGGAATGCAGTGGCAAGATCACAGTTCACTGCATCCTGGACCCCCTGGATTTCTGTGATCCTTTTGCCTCCTGAGTAGCTGGGACTACAGGAGCATGCCACCTATCTGTTAAATTTGTAGAGATGAGTTCTTGCTGTGTTGCCCAGGCTTATATAATCATTTTCAGGTCCGACTTGCTTTCCTATTGTTCCAATAAATCTCATAAAAATCTCCTTTCTTCTTTTTTCTTTTCTTTTTTTAGGAAAAATATAAACGCGCTTTGGCAGATACTGAGAACTTGCGGCAGAGAAGCCAAAAATTGGTGGAGGAGGCAAAATTATATGGTAACTTTAAACATTACATGGTATTGATCCTGGAAAGAAGATAATTGAGGGTGGGAAAGGGAGGGGCCGTGCATATGGAAGTGGGGTGGGGGGCTCACACTTGTATCCCCCCTGGTTTTTTAAGCTAGGTCAGCAGTGGGCCAGGCACAGTGGCTCATGGCTGTAATCCCAGCACTTTGGGAGGCCAAGGCAGAAGGGTCACTGGCCCAGAGTCAAACCAGCCTGCAGGCAACATAGCAAGATCCTGTCTCTACAGAATATTTAAAAATTAGCCAGGCATGGTGGTACTGGCCTGTAGTCCCAATTACTCGGGAGGCCAAGGTAGGAGCCCAGAAATCTGAGGCTGCAGTGAGCTACGATCACAGCACTGCACTCCAGCCTGGTTGACAGAGCAAGACCCTATCTCTAAAAAAATTAAAATCATAGCTTATAAAAAACGGCAGCTAAAAAAATTAAAGAAATGGGTCCATAGTTGTGTCTGTGGAGGAGAAATGGCGTCGCATTTGGAATTGTCAGTAGATGAAACCAGTAAGGGGCATGTTTCTGCGCTCACAAGGAGACTGGTAGGGACTTGCAGCTAACTCCGGCAAAGCAGCCTCCATCCCCCATCCCAACGTGGGCATTGAACTCTCAGCATGCTGTCTGTACTGTCAGCTTGGGGTATTTTTGTCACTGTCCTTCCCATTTTACAGTTGGGATCATCGAGGCTTAATGACTTACTGCACATTATAGAGCTGTGAACTCGTGGCAGCAGCCTTGAGGCTGCCGCTTGAGGTCTCCCTGTGGGTCTCTGCTGTCAGGTGTTGTAGATGAGGAGCCAGAGGCTCTGCTGAGAGGTTATTGGTCTGCCTCAGCTCCTGGTAAGAGGCCATGTGGACAGTCAGACCCAGTCCTCGCTGCACATTCAGCACAGATCGTGCAGCCCTCCTGGTGACATTGCTTCTCCGGATGCTGTCACCATAGCCCCCTGCTCTTCCTCCTCTCTTTCTGGGAATACCCTCTGTGTGCTTCTTACCTGTGTCTGGGGTCTGTGGGATTCAGAGCCAGACCTCTCCTCTCCTCTGGCTATGCCCCTGGTGACGCAGGCACTCTCGGGGCTCACATCCTGTTGCTGGGCAGATTCTGCTTCGAGCTCAGAGATTTCTTCTGAGTTCCAGCCTGTATACCCTTTGCTTACGTGACATTTTTGCTTGGATGCCTTGATGGTATTTTTCCCCTCCACCTCTGCTCCCTTTCTCCCACGGTTTAGCAAATTCTAAATTTAGTAAATTCTGGGTCTCATCCTAGAAAAGGCTTTGGGGTGATTGGTTTGTTTTAAATTATCAAGTCACTTGAGTTCTAGGGTACATGAATGATTTGGCAAGTGTTCAGTAGCTCACGCATGAGGTAAACAGTGCTCAGTTTTGAACTGCCTCATGTGGTGGACATGGAAGGCAAATGCACTTCTCTCCTTCTCAGGCATTCAGGCATTCTGCAAGGACTTGTTGGAGGTGGCAGACATTTTGGAGAAGGCCACACAATGTGTTCCCAAGGAAGAAGTTAAAGACGACAACCCTCACTTGAAGAGCCTCTATGAGGGGCTGGTCATGACTGAGGTCCAGATCCAGAAGGTGTTCACCAAGCACGGCCTGCTCAGGTTGAACCCCGTGGGAGCCAAGTTCAACCCGTACGAACACGAGGCCTTGTTCCACACACCAGTGGAGGGGAAGGAGCCGGGCACGGTGGCACTCGTCAGCAAGGTGGGGTACAAGCTGCACGGGCGCACGCTGAGACCGGCCCTGGTGGGGGTGGTGAAGGAGGCCTAGCCGCCTCACGCGGGTGCTGGTTTCTCAAGTCACTCGCTGTCACTGGAAAGGCTGGTTCGTCTTACCTATGAGTACGTTTGGCCTTTTCCCAAACCCTGCCAGGAAGCTTGAGTAGCCAGTGGCTGCACAGAAGGTCAGCCAGTGCACAGCCACGCTGATGAACTTGAGCCGGGGGTCTGTTGGCTGCTCACTAGTACACACGTGTAATCGTTGCACACATCCAGAAGAGCCCCTGCCGGACGCGGGCCACCGCAGGGCCACCAGAGTCTCGGGAGCGAAGTGTCTGCTCAGACTCTGGTGGCAACCGAGTGTGTTAAGCAAATAAAACGTCTTCGGGAATTCTGTCTGGTGCTTCAAGCGCCGGTCTGCACCGTCTCCTGTGGCTCCCTGTGGCGCGCCGCCCATTGGATTCAGCGAAGGACGGGCAAGAGCGAAACACTTGGCGCGCTCAAAACAGCTGGCGCCCTTTGTGAAGAACGTGCGAGTTCACTTGTAATCAGTCCCTGTCGAGCTGCTGACAGCAGCCGCCCTCTGCCTTTTCTGTGGAGCTGAGAAGTGAACATGCATTTTAACAGTTCTCACCACCAGTAATTTGAGTTTCACAGAATCGATTCCTTTTCCATGTTTTGTTCCTCTTAACGTAGAGCTGTGTGACTCATATTCAGCTGCTTACCAATGACCTCCAGGGGTCTTTCCTCGTAAGATGGACTTTCCCAGAATAGGAAATCCCGTGTGCTTGGCATACTTTAAGTGTTAATGTTTCATTTTAAATTTCTATTTCAGAGGATTAAAGCCCTGATCTGTTTATTTTCCTACTTTCTGATGCTGATTGCGTGTCCTTTGCTGGAGGAGATCTTGAGCCGCGAGGCAAGCTTCGCTCAGCCTCCCGGTTCCCTCGGCTGCAGCCCTGAAGCCACCTGCTGGCACATACGTGCCTCACACAGGACAGGGGAGCTGCCATCCTAGCGCAGCACAGTGTGGTCTGTGCCTGAGCAGCCCGGCCTGGCAGCCTGCCACGGCAGGAACACGAAACTCGGGAAACACACAGGGGCCGCAGCAGGAAAAAACACAACTCAGGGAAGGCAAGCTTGAGGACTTTCTAGCCAAAGGACCTGCTCTTCCTCATTGACGTCAACACCTAGGGTTGTGGAGTGACTGAAGTACCTAGTATACACAAGAGAAAAGCCAGGCAGGGTAGCTCACACCTGCAATCCCAAAGCTTTGGGAGGCAGGGGTGAGAGGATTGCCTGAGTCCAGGGGTTCAAGACCAGCCTGGGCAACTTGGCGAGACCTCACCTCTACAATAAATCAATAAAATTAGCAGGGCATGGTGACACTGTGGTTCCAGCTATTTGAAAGGCTGAGGTGGAGGGATCACCTGAGCCCAGCAGTGACCGTGAGCGTGCCACTGCACTCCAGCCTGGGTGACAGAGCGAGACTCCTATTCAAAAGAAAAGAAGCCTGCACTAGCTTTGTTTCTAAGAGGTGCTCCTAGGAGTGACGCAGTCTGGCAAGTGCTCTTGCACAGGAAAGGTGTGATTGAGCCCATTTATTTTGCTTGTAATTTTGAAAAATGTAGGTAATACCCCCATAATCAAATTTAACACAAATACCATTTCCAAGCATTTTCCTCCTTTCTTTTAGGGTAATTTAAGTTATTTGGTCGAAAATATACCTCAAACTAGACAACATAGCATTCTGGAGAAAACAAGACTGAGCATTACGACACTACCTGTTTTTATGCTGTGTAGCTGGGCGGACGTTTACCTTTCGGGAACTCGTCTGTAAGCTTAAGGCTGAGCAAGAAAAGTAATTTTCAAACTAATTTCTGTGAAAATGTGCAGTCCCTTCCCTTTTCAGCCAGAGTGCCAAATGCTAGAAAGCTCGAAACTCAACCTAGAGGCACTAGGGCTTAACGTAGCACAGTGTTTCTTTGCAGTAAATTTCAATCATCTGGTCACCTTTACAGGTTGGGGTATCCCTTATCTGAAGTGCTTGGGACCAGAAGTGACAAAGTTTGATTTTTGGAACACAGTCATGCATCGCTTGACACCAGGTATGTTCTAAGAAACGTGGCATCAGGCAATGTGTTGTGAACACTGTAGAGTACACTTCCATAAACCTAGATAGCGCAGCCTACGCCACACCCAGGCGGGGTGGTACAGCTTACTGCTCCTAGAATACAGGGAGGTGTAGCATGTCACTGTGCTGAGTACTGCAGACAGTTGCAGCACAACGGTATGTCTGTGTCCAAGCATAGAAAAGGGACAGCTAAAAGCTGTGGCACTGGCTGAGACATCATTCTGTGGTGTGGGCGCGTATTTGCGGGCTACTCACTAGATACGTGTCCCTAACCCCCAAACACGAAGTGCTCCACTGAGGATCTCCAATTTCAGATTTCGGTGCACTTCTGATTTTTGGATTAGGGATATCTGACCTGTCGCAGGAAAACATCCTTTAATTATGGACATATTTATACTGGAAATTAAAGATCTCTTCCGCATGGATAAGTTATACATGTAGAAAATCAAAACCAGACCTTCAGAGGCACCTCCAAGTGGCGTGAAAGGGTTTCTGCCTAACAAAGCAACTTCAGTTTTTGGAGGAAAAACTGGTTTCATACAGAAGTGCCACAGCAGAGCACGTCACGTGATGGTCTGCATCCTGTGTATGGTGGTTGGCTCACACCCAGCAGATCTGTGTGACTCTGCGATGTCTGAAATTAGACTTGAGGAACAAGATGGAGAAGCAAGCAAGCACTGACACTATTTTGTTCTCAACTTGTTTAATGTAAAAGGTGATCAAAATTGTAGTCAGAGTTTCCATTTTTAATACATTCTTGGAATGTTGGCCATCCAGAGAGCATTTCAGATAGCTGAAGAACTGCCCAACTTGTCTGACTCAAAAATAAATTGTCTGACTAAAAAATAGAGTTTGCTTACAACCTTAAAAAGACCTAATTCCATGGGATGATGGTGGCTAATTGATCGTGAGAATTCAATATAAAAGCGGAGGCTCTGAGCTACCAGCAGGACGCCTGCGAAGGAACGGCTGCAGTCCGTGGGCTGAGAAGCAGCCGGTCATAAAGTCACCTCTCCCTCACGACAAAGCAGTACAACTTCAAACATAAATTAATTATACATTCATTATGGTGTTTTAAAACAGTCAAGCCTAAATAAATTCTTCATAGCATCAAAAAGAGACATCCTGAACACCTGCTTGAGCACGTTTTCATTGGACAGCCCTTGGCCTGGGCCATGCACATTTACAGGGATCTTCCACTACTTGAGCTTAGTATAAGTCTGGCGATCGTTTTGTATAAAAATAAGACTAAATTTAAAACCTCACCCAACTAGGATCCTGGTGTTGTGGAGAACCAATGGGGCACCAGGACAGCCACACTTAAGCTAAACTTAAGCTTGCATCCCAGCTGCCTGGAGGGCTTGTAAAAGCAGCTCACTGGCTCCCACCCCCGGAACTTCTGCCTTGGGGACTGAGTAGGGCCTGAGTGCGATTCCCTCGAGTTCCTGGGGGATGCTGAGGATGCTGGGCCCGGAGCCCCACTTGAGAACTGCTGGCTGAGACAACCGTCAAAACTTAGCACCATCTCCGTCACTGTTCAGCGGCAGCAAATACTGGCTTGCCGTCAACCACGTTCATCCCACGAGGGACAGTGTGAAGGTGGCCCTCATAATACTCCTGCTAATACCTTCTGATGTCAAAAGCAGAGTTCTGGGCTTAGCTAGGAGGGAGTGCTTCTCAGCCAGCATGCGATGTAGTCTACAACTAAAGCCATATACAATATAGTTGAAATGTTTTATTTAATGCTGAAAAATTTACCCCAGGGGACAGAAGGATGTAAAAAGAAAGGAAAAGGCACAGTAATTAAGTCCTTGGAAATGATGAGGTTTTTTTTTTCTTTCAAATAACTTCAGTTTAATGTAACTTCAAGCCCAAACATTGTGGGAGGTAAACAGTCTCCTGGAGCCTGTGGGGCACAAGAGGCTAGACAAGCTTCTGGAAGAACGGAGTGCGGGGTCTGTGGCTGCTCCACGGACTCTCTCTAAAGCAGGGTCTTGGGCAGAGGAACCCTGAGCAGCCGGAAGACAAGACTTCTCAAGTTTCAGGAGGAAGGTACCGTGTACATCCTTGAAAGAGGGCCCCCCCAAAAACCTTGAAATAGGGCTGGGAAGAAGCCATTTCTGAGTCTGGTTCAAGACAGTGGACAGCGAAGCAACTCGGAGGCACTGCCCGGGCGCCCTCCGAGCTCCAGCAGAGCCGCCACGTCAGCCTAAACCTCGGCTGGCTGGGCCCGGCAACACTCTTAAGACGTTTAGCCAGGCAGGCATGGTTATGTTTTCGGTGGAAAGCGCATCTGCAACTGTAATGAAAATCCTGAGGAAGCGGCCAGAATTCAGAACTCTTAGCCTTGAACTTTTAAGACGCCTTCTTCCAAGTGAAATGCACTGCAGGTGTGACGGCAGCAGCGAGCAGCCCCCAGAAGCGGGCTTAGAGCTTCTGCGTCGTTAGTCCCGTGTCCCT